GTCTCAGGCCTTGCTGGAAGTCACCCTGCCTTGGACTTTGGTTTCGGCAGGCCCACACTGGGCATGCACTCTGGCCACATTGCACTTGTTTCTACCTGGCCAAGTTGGGAAGTGTGCAGGAACAGAGTTTTGGTATTCTATCATCTTCAAACCATGGGATGCTATTTTTTGAACTACAAATGTAAGTGATGCTTGCAATTAATCCTCTCCAGAAAGGCATTCTGTCATGCAGGAACATAACCAATAAGGAAATTACACTCAGAGAAAAGGTAGATGCTTAAGAGAATTTAAGGGAAAAATCAAAGAACTTCCCTGATGACCCTAGACATCTGTCAAGGTGGGATCTGTGTTGAGGAATACCCACAGAATTGAACTCTGGCCAGTGCTCAAGTTTCTGTTCCTATGACTGAGTCTCCTGGCCAAGAAGGACAAGGAGGTCAGCAGGACAACGTGGGGATCTCCAACTGGGCTCAGCAATGTGTCCATGAGGTCACCTGCCTCCTGCAGCTTGGCAGCTGCATGTCTGTCTTACCCTCCCAGCACCCAGCACTACAGCTCTTAGGAGATGGGAGATGGCATGTGGTCTTTGTAGCCACTGTTATACTTCAATCCAGACCCTTGCAAATGGCAAGAAGTATAAAGGAAAAGAGAAAGTATGGGAGGAAAGTGGGGGATGGTTGGCACAGAGCAACCTGGAGACGGATTCCTGTTCCCCAAGCTTCCCCGGGGCACCCTGAAGAACTGCCAGATGAAAGGGAGGTCTCACTCTGTCACTGTCCTTCAGTACCATTCTAATAACAGCAATAGTAACAGTGAACATTTTCCAGAAGTTACCACCTTAGGTGTAGCCAATCTTCATTATTCATATTCTGTTTTTGCAAGTTTACTGCTTGTAAAACTTACTTGTAACCCCCAAATCAGTGCCCATGTGCCCAGAGCCACCTGATAGCTATGCTCCCTGCTGAGGCTGAATGAGGCCTCCACGTTCCTTTTTGTAAAAAAGACACTGAAAACAAGTGTCTTTTTCTCCACCTGCCTAGAGCTCTGTTTAAACACCCTCCATATATCATGCTGAAGTGCTCTTGCACTCCTGAGAAAAGGAAGGCTGAGATTTCCTCACAGAGAACACACACATCAAAGAATCTCCCTTCCAACACAAGGTGTGTGCTGCTGGCCCTGTTTCGTGCTAACCAATTAGCAGTGTGTATCACTTAAGATGTCTCAAACAGAAGCCCACATGCCACAAGGTGACATATTGGTGGGTGGCTGCAAGCAAGTACAACCAGAGGCTGGAAGGCATCCGGCCCTGCTGCTACTAGGATCAACACCCCAACATTCCCCAGCTCAGGTTTCCAGGTGACTTTAAAGAATAGAACTGCCATGGTTAATGATAAGTATTACACATTTGACTATTGACTTTTAGGCATCCTGATCCTGGCCGGGTCCTGGATCCCATAGGCAGCAGCTCAGTGCTCACGGGGATGTGATGGAGCAGAGCCATCCTGAGTGAGGGTCAAGTGCTTCCCACATTGTTCTGTATAACCTTCCATGGCAATCCTGAAAAGTACATCCTATTGTTGCTCAGGACTTGATTGGGGTTTCATGAGCTTAAGTGACTTGCCCAACGTAATCACAAAACCAGTGACTGCTGGGTCCAGAACTCCAGCCCTGGCAATCAGACCATGGATCCCTGGGTGTACCCTGAGCAGTACTGCCTGCTAAACTCCCCTTCCTGCCTGGGAAGAGTTGTGAGTGTCAGGGAACTAAGACAGTGAGTAAGCAGAGACACTAGACTGATGCTCTCATGCAAATGACATGTGAACCTTGGGGACATACTCAACCCACAGCACCTGGTATGCTTAGGCTCTCTTCTATTTGTGTTTTGTGCTTCTGATGTCAATTTTTGCTTTGTGGTTACCACAGCTTATATAAAAATCTTAGACAATTTTATGCAGATAACAACTTAATCTCAATCGTATACAACTCTGTGCTTTGACTAGCTACTTAAAACACACATTTTATGCTTTTGATGTCAACATTTCCATGACTTTGTACTACGTACCTTGACAATCTGTTTGATATATAGTTGTCTTAAATATTTTCTCTCTCCACATACTGGAGAGAAAAATTGACTCAGTATTACTTATAGTATTGCCGTATGTGCTTTTATATATTTTATGTTGCTAATTAGTAATTTTGTTTGTCTGCTTCAACTTCATTCTCTTCAGCAGTTCCAGGGACAGACCTCAAGGTGGGGAACATGGCGTTTCTTTGGGAGAGTCATCACCTACTTCCTCCTCATTTCTGAAAGACAGTTTTTGCTGGACAAAGTACTCTTGCTTGGTGAGTTTTTCCTTTTTTCCATTTAGCAAATTGAATTTATCCTCCTGCTCTCAACTAGCCTACAGGGCTTCTGTAGAACAAGCCCTTGAGTGCCACCTTGGGGCTCCTTTATCTGGGATAAAGGGGGATATTTTTAAAGCACCACAGTTTCTGTGCACTACAGAAAAAAATAGTCTCAAAGAGTGACAGGGTTTTTCCTGTACCTGAACCCTGCCAGGTGAGGACTGTGCTGGGAGCGGCAGGAGTCTTGTGTGGAGCAGGGCAGACATTATGGCTCAGCAGAACTGAGTGAGGTTGTTGGGCTACTCCTTATACCTCTAGCATGGAGGCAGGAAATGCTCTCTCTCTCACTGGAGGTTTCTCCCTCTGCTTTATTTTTTAATTCTTATTCTTGCTCTGATAAAAGAGACAGAAAACAATCTTAGTCTGGCATAAGCAAAATTAAAAAAAAAAAAAGTGTAGCTGGAATGAACCCTATGTAATGCCATTCCTCTAGCCAGTGTGAGACAGTCACAAATTTAATGGAGTTAGGAACACTGCACTTGAATCAACTTAAACTTGAAATAAATTTGTAGCAGGTATCCAAGAAAATTGAATCCCACAAGAATCTTCACACAGAGTTGCCAGTGGCACCCATCATTGACCTCTGCGATGATTCCTAAGACTTCTGAAAGTCCGAAAAAGGAGAAAAGGAATCTGCCTCTGCTTCCTGCTCTAAGGCCTCTTTTTATTTCAGAAAATGCATCTAATAATCTGGTCTGCTTTTGTCAGTAGGTAGGAATTTTAGGAAACACATAAAAAGAAATGCACTGTGATTCTGGTTAAATTTTAAACACAGCACAAAAGCATGGTAACATAAAAAATGAAGAAAAAATACCTTTTTAGAATATTAGAATATTTACTTTATTTAAGCCATGTGAGTGATATAACATCCAAAACTCAAAATATGGTTTTATCCTTTACCCATATGTACCCCACTTCTTAATAAAGGGGATGAGAAATCTTGGGATCAGTCTGAAAACTGAAGGAAGATTTTTGATTCTCTCTTGCCCTCCATGTCCAACTCAAACTGGGAACAGCTATCAACTAGGCAGCATCCAGCAATCCATGGTCAGTTTAGAGCTGACCAAGAAAAGATGAGACAGAGGGTCCTGAGGGGCAGGCTGGTGGCATGCAGTGGCTGAAGAAGCAAGAGCTGTCCTAAGGAACATAAACAGAAAAGAACCAAGACAACACTCCTCCTCTGTGAACAGCTACTGCCCTCAGGGCCCAGGGCTGGCTGTCACTCTCCAAGACTTTCCCAGGTGTCACCTTCTTAGTCCCTTAAAGTTGCATGGCTCATTTGCTCCACACTCCAAATCCCTTTCCTTTTCTTTGTTATCCTTTAATAATATTGTAAGTTTCCTTTTTATTAAGTTTATTGTCTAAATCAGAGATCAGCAAAGTACAGCCCTCCAGTGAAATCTGCTCCCCACCTGCTATTAATTAACATTAATATTCATATTTTGTTATGCTAGAGCACAGCCAGTTCCATTTGTCTGTGGCTGCAGGGGCTGTGGCTGCTTTGAAGCAGCAGCAGAAGGGATAAGGGGTTGTGGTAGAAATGCAGGGGTCACAAAGCCATCTATGCAGAAGGTCTCCCTACCTCTGGATAAGCTCCATACGCACAGGAAATGTGTTTGCTCCATGGTGTGTCCCAAGTGCTGGGCAAATAGTTGAGGCAGGAAAGGATTAATTGTGCCTTCAGGCAGAAGGTGTTCTGTTTTGTAGCTTTAAAAGAGCAAGAGGCAGGGGAACCTTAGTCAGGACATCCCACACAAGTATTGCACCTGGAACACAGAAACTTCTGTGCACCAGCAGTGAAACATTTATGTCTCTACTGATTAAGAAAACACCAGATGTCCATGAGCCTTTTCCCCATTCGTCAAGCACAAGAACCACAGGAATAAGGAGTCAGTAGAATAGGTTGATGGGGTTTGCTCTTGAGAACTGGGAAGCTGGAGAAACCATCCAAGTCCCCACTTCTTCTGGATTCCTCAGCAGTCTCAGTTCTAGTTCTCTCCCAGCGGTAGAGGTACACTTACAGATTTCTGTAGCTTGGTTCACAGGTCATGTTTTCCAGGGGAAAGAGGCAGCAGAACAGCCAGGTTACTGTCCTCAGCATTCATGGGAGGAGGGGAGGAGCTTGTAGCAATAGGCTTAAGTCTTGGTTACTCAGAATGCAAGCAGAGAAAAGTCCTGATTTCATTTCTGCTAGAGGACTGAGGATATCTCTTTTAAGTTCTCTTTTCTTTTATTTTAAGTCATGAATTTTAATATATTAAAATTGAATTTATATAAAGAACAATAAAATATTTCAGTTCACCACCTGGTGAATGGTAAGTTTTTTTGCTTATCTTCATATAAAGCACTTTACCAAGAATTGAGCCATTATTATTTAAAACTCCACTCCTTCAGTCAGTTTCCTTATTTGAGCGGAAAATAACAAATTTCTGTAGAATTTTGGCTGCAGGACCAGTCACAGGGAAGATCTGAAATATCTCAAAGTAATTTGGCTGGAGAAAAAGGTTTTCTTGAGACTTAAAGGCATCATTCATCACATTGTGTCCGAAGGGCCTCCTCCACCAACTGCTGCCCTGCACTCTTCAGAGTAAGGCTCAGGATCTGGGCTCCCGGCAGGGGTCACTTCCAACTGGAACACAGACCAGCAGAGCATTCTGGCAGCCATTCTGCACCCTGTAGTGATGAGACTCTGAGGCCCCTGGAGAGACCATGATCCTCTCCACCCCAACCTCCAGCCTGAGCTGCTCCCTCAGGCTCTGGCAGGTGTTCATGCTGGCCCCTGAAGACACGGTGGATTTTTCAAATTGGTTAAGGTTTTGAATAGATGTTTCTCCAAAGAGGATCTTTCCCTCTCTTCTCTCTATTACTTATGCAGGGGGAAGCCTACTGTCATGTCATGGGGACACTCAGGCAGCCCTGTGGAGAGATTCATGCAAGGAGGAACCCAGGCCTTTTGCCAACAGCCATGTGAGTGCGCCATCTTGGAAGCGGATCTTCCAGTCCAGCCTTCCGATGAGACAGCTCCAGCCAGTAACCGAGCTCGCTTGAGAAGCCCTGATCCAGAGCCACCCAACCAAGCTGTTTCTGGATTCCTGACCTCCCAGACCTTCTATGACTATATGAGAATTAAATGTATCCATTCATGTGCAGTTCCTGGCATATGGTAATACATGACAGGGATGCTGATATAGTTGTGCAGGTGGTTCACTGTTCAAATGGAAGCTTGTCCAGGCTGTTAGCAGGCAATTGCTTATGTAGAGTTGGCCCTGTTTTCTAATTTGTAACAGGGCCATGGATGGGGCTTATGCTGTCAGTCTCGGGGATTCAAATATTCAGTAAATACACCTTAGCAAGGTTCTTTGGCTTTGAGCTGATATTATTGGACTTACTCTGGGTATATCACAACTACTCCCTGGTAGTTTCATGGAATTCTCCAAAATAATCTCTGTGGGATGCCTACAGGCCAAGCCCTGCTGTTATTATTCAAACAGTGTATTGTAAACCAAATAAGAAATCTTAACAATATAAAAAGTTTAAGATCATGCAGGACAATACTTGATGCTTAGTTATACCTACAGACAGAGTTCAAATATAGAAATATAGTTCAAAATATAAAAAAATGCACAGGAATGAGAAAGACCACATTCTGGATTATGGCTTAACCTGGGGTGAGGAGAGCATGGGTTTAGGAAGCAGTGTACAGAAATCTTAAGCTCTGCCCAGAATTTATTTCTTAAACTGAATAGGGTACACACCAGTGTTTATTATTTTTTAATCTTAAATATATAAAAATAATTTATTAGTAATATTATTGAATGAGACCTGTCTTTCTAAGTGGGTGATCATTTTGCATTTCTCTCCGCATTAGTCTCTGTTGAACATTGAATCACTATATTGACAGGACCCCACAGAATCAAGTAGCCATTCACTCAACCAATATTGAATGATAGAGCGTTCAAAGAATGGAGAACATCATCGGTACATTATGACACAGATGTTTGGTTATTTGACTATTTTCCCTTCTTTCTTTGAAAGTGGAGGCGCTCTGTCTGGTACCAATGAGCAGACACATGTGCCTCTTTGCAGCAGCAAGGTTTCCATCTCTGACTCGGCCATCCTCTAGGAAGAGCACAGGGGATCTTCTTGCCAGGGTTCACTGGGAGGGGGACGAATGAATTTCAGAGGCTGTGCTGAGGGGTGGGAGTTAACCGGGCGGTTTCCATGGCGCCCGGGGCATGGGGGAGGAATGCACCCCGCAAGTTCTGGCGAAACAACCCATTCTCTTTAAGTTCTTGCTTAAGGTTTCTTCCTTACTGTCCTCTTAAACAAGTCCCTTTTATCTGAAGATTATTGCTTTTATACTCAATGCATTTTCCTCTTAATGCATACTGAAAACGTTGTGAATCTGCAGGCAAGGGAAGTGAGTTGTGAATCTGCAGGAAGCAGAAGCAAGAAAACTATTTGAAAAGAAACAAGAAATGAAAACCACAGTGATCCATATGCTATGGGCATGAAGGTGCATTTAGCCAAAAATGAACCAACTTCTAAACATGAATGCTATTTTCTCCTCAGCAATCAATGGCAGCTCTTGGAACTTTGGCAAATATGGTTAGAAAAACTATTTGCCTTTGTTAAGAGCTAAAATTTGTGTTCTTTCCTTTTTCTGAGATATCTGTAATGTTTTTCTTTCTTTATTCAAAATTAATTTTCAGGAATGGGGTTAGAGCCCAGTGGTAGAGTGCTTGCTTGCCTTGCATGTGTGAGGCCTTGGGTTTGATCCTCTGCACCACACAAAAGTAAATAAAATTAATTTTAAATTTTACTATTGATACAGTAATCCATTCTTTTTATTGCAGATTATATCATCACAATATATGATATTCTGCATTTCCAAGCTTCCTCCCTAAAACATCCCCAATTATTACCATTACTATGGTGTCTTGAGTGTTTTTACCCACCTTAAAAATACTTTTACAACCGCATGGATATACATGTAGAAAATACTTTGCATTACTCCATGTTTTATCACACAGAGCAATAGTAATTCACACTTTGTTTTTCAGCAGAAGGATTTCAGAGAGAGATTCATTTTGTAAAGTAGATAAAAAAGATTTGAAAAGATAGACTTTATTCAAAGAAAGAGAGAGAAAGAATTTTTCAATATTTATTTTTTTAGTTCTCAGTGGACACAACATCTTTATTTTATTTTTATGTGGTGCTGAGGATCGAAACCAGCGCCCCGTGCATGCCAGGCGAGCGTGCTACTACTTGAGCCACATCCCCAGCCCCTTTATTCATTCTTTTTGAAGCTGTTTAGTTCCCCTCCTAAGCATCTGCTACTTGTTGTCCATTCATCCTTCCCCTATGCGCCCTAGGTCTTAGGGCTTCTTGCTGTTACAATGTAGAGCATTCTTACTTGTCATATGCTTGTGAGTCCCGTGTGCATTCCTCCAGGACAGACCTTTAGAATTTGAACTGCTAGGGCCTGGGGAAGCACGATCAAGGTGGGTTTGGCTCTATAAACTTCCCTCCCCTAGAGCCCGGCCACTCACCCCAACAGCAGTGGGCACGAGTGCTGACCCTTGGTGGAACCTTGGATTCTCCCACAGTACCTGCCTTGATGGCATGAGACCTGTGCAATTCTACTTCACGGGTGCTGGGGTAGGGGGAACCCAAGGCCTTGTGAGGTGGACTTCACTCAGTTGATTGGCTGTTCTGATTTTCCTTTTTACCTACTGAAGCTCACCCTTCTCATTTTCCATTTCTTGTTCTTTTTACTGTTGTTGTAGGAATTCTTTGTGTACCATCCTCCCAGCATAAGTCTGGATTCCTGTCCTTTGTCATGCAAGTTCAAACTTGCTGGTATGGTTATATTTAACTACCGATTCCCTTTTATGCATTTTGCTTTTGTATAAGTCTGTTTAAAAAGCTGGCCCTCCTACATGCTTAGCATGTACACATCACATGCTTTCCTAATAAGTATAATATTCCCCTCTTTAGTTTGGGTCACTAGGTCACTGGACTGTGGGTTCTGGAACAAGCACAGGCTCACCACTCAGGCAAGCCCATCTATGAAAGCATCTGTTCTTTCTCAACTATGTGAAAAGCTGGCAATCACATTGTGTACTATTGTATATGATGGCATAAAATCATAAGCTCTGCTCTTCAGTGACTTTGTAAAAGTAGCACACACCCCCAGCCTGCCTGTGAACTGAGACCCAGCTGGACTTGATGTCACCTGTCTCTTTTCCATTTCCTACAAATATCCCCTTGGTAAAAATGGAGATTCACCAAATCTCATTCTCTAATCTCACTCTTCGATAAGACAAATCAGGATTCCCTGGTGTGACAGCTGACTTTGGGGCAAGGGCAGAAAACAAACAAGGTGTCCCCAGAGCCTCAGGTGGAGCCAGAAGTCGGGAAGCACTGAAAAAAAAAAAAAAACACCCAAGAACACAAGAGTCCTACAAAGTGATGGAAGGTGTCAAGGGACACAGCAGCACCCCAAAAAAACAAATGCCTGGGGACAAAACTGGAGCAAAGGGGCAAGGTGATACAGGGTGTGGGTCAATAATATCCAGGTCAATATCCAAGAGAAGTATCAGGAGTCATAGGACATAAGCAGGAAGGTGGGGTATGTAGAGGGTCCCCTCTCTTGGAAGAAATCTGAGTAATCAGCAGACAATCCACCCTCAAGGAGTAGGCTCCATCCCAGCTCCTTGCTCCTCCATGGTGGGCCCTGCTTGGCACCTACTCCAATGTGCACAGTTCAGAAGGGAAAACTGTGAAGGAGGACCTGCAGAAGGCACTGACGGCCTTGAGATCCTGTTGCAGGCCAGATGGACCACATGGTTAAGATGTCCCATCAGTCATCAGTCAGTGGAGGTGGTAACAGAGCAGGCACATGGTCCCCACTCCCTGCTTCAGTTTCCATACACCCTATCTGGTCACACTGATAGCTGGACCTCTTCTGGTTCCTGTGGCTGCCTGATTTATAATCATTTTTGTTTTGCTCAAATAAACTCAGTTTAAGCTTGTCCGGGGGTTTTCCATTTTAATAAGAGTCACCCATGTCCTGGAGAAACCTGACTCACACTGCCTTAGCTTGGTAACAGAGGCTTACAGCAGCAGTGTAGTCAAGGTTATGGCTGACAGCCTCAAAACTAGAGCATGGGATGGGCCTCTGTAGTCTTTTCCCCCAAACACCAACAGAAATGTGGTCAAGAGAAAACCATCAGGCAAATCCCAGCCAAGGGACAGTCTACAACATGCCTGATCAGCATTCCTCAAACCATCCAGCTCATCAATTATAGCCGGCCTATAATCCCAGCTGGGGATCAGATTGGAGGATCTCAAGTTCATGGCCAGCCTCAGCAACTTGGTGAGATCCTGTCTCAAAATAAAAACCAGAAAGGGATTGGGATATAGCTTGAAACTAGAGCACCCCTGTGTTCAATCCCCAGGACCAAACCAAACAAAATAACTAACAAAACACAAAAACTGAGAAACTTCCACAGTCCCAAGGAGCATAATGGGCATGGTAGATCCTCTAGGGGGTCCTGTGACACAGAAGGACCTAAGGTAAGCAAAGACCCCTGGATTAATCAAGCACCTACCTGGATTCTAATGCTTCCACATAGGTACAGCATTGTGAAAAATGTACTCACTCGTATATGATGGGCACCTGGTGTTGGGGATATGGGAACTCTTTGTACTCTGTGCACATCCAAAATAAAATTGTCAAATAGAAAAACTTCCTTAAGAAAAACAAAAAGGTGCAGAGCTGTATCCTCATGCCATTAACAACTAAAGATCCAGACTGGAAGCTGCATGCTAGGAGCACAGCTGTTCCTGAGCACAGGCTGGCTCCCTGCAGGCCAGGGGCGAGGGCTCCCAACAGCTTGGACAAGGGGGAGACTGCTACTCCCAAGCCTGCAGCACCAGGAGGGCTTAATGAGGACAGCCAGCCAAGAAGATGCTGCTACACCAAAACGGAAGAGGACATCAT